GGTAACGTGTAGTCAACCTGTGCCATTGTATGTTGGAAGTATGTGACCTGTTTGTTTGCTTTGATTTTACAGGGGGTTTGCTATGAGTTTCCAGAGAGACTTTGGACTTTGAAACAGTGTTGAGACTGAATGACTATGGGGACTTCTGAAGTTGGAAGGAATATATTTTTTGCATTATGATATAGCTACAAGCCTATGGGAGTCAGGGAGTGGAACGTGATGGTTTGAGTAAGAATGGTCCCCATAGGCTCATATATTTAAATGCTTAATTATCAGGGAGCGGGCTGCTTGAAAAAGGTTGAGGGATTAGGTGGTGTGGTCTTATTGGAAGAGGCATTTTGGGGGCTTTGAAGTTTCAACAGCCAAGGCCAGGGTCAGGCTGTCTATCTCTGTTCCCTATAGATCAGATGTAAAACTCTCAGCTACTACTCCATGCATGACACCATGCTCCCTACCATGATGATAACTGACTAACCTCTCAAACTGTAAGTGAGCCCCCAATTAAAAATGTTCTTTTATTGGAGCTGCGTTGGTCATCCTGTCTCTTCACAGCAACAGAGCAGGGACTCAGACAGTCCCTTTAAACAGGTCTCCATAAAACACAATGATAAGACCACACGGTTATTTTCAACTACATTTGAGTCTGTGAGGGCTAAGAAATTTTCAGACAAGTGACATCTCACCACAGCACAGGTGTACAATTTTGGCCTCCTTGCCAAGTTCTTGAGTCTTGGTATCCACTTAGGAAGCACTATGAGGCTGAATTGACTTTGAAGAGGTCATAAACGCCAGCCAGCCCAGTCACTGGAGGGGTAGGATCGGAACCACCATGCAAGATATCCTGTCACGTGCCACATTCTGCAAATGTATTTCAGTCCTACAATGAATAACTCCAGGAGTCAAAGCCATGAAATTAATGTTCTATATGATACATTTCTCTTCCATGGAGGAAAAAAAAAAAGAAAATGTCACCTAGGAGAATTCCAGGAGTGCTTAATCATAAATTCATAGCAAATTTAGTATGCTAACTCTTCGAGCAGTGCCTCGGTGCCCAATTGCTATAATTAAGTGAATGAGGAGAAACATTCAATGCCATGCGTCCGATCATTATGCTAGCAGTGTCGGCATTAGTTTTTAGGAATGTAAACTATTATATATTCCAGAAACATTTTTTGAAAAGTGCACACATATCTCTAAGGATTTTAAACCCCTAGATTAATGTCAATTGTCAGGGGATGAAGCTCACTTGGCAGCGCATGCCTAGAATGCAGGAAGGCCACAGTTTGATGCCCAACAGCTGTGTGTGGTGGCTTATACCTATAATCCCAGCACTCGGGAACCAGAGGCAGTAAGGCCAGAAGCTCAGCACATCTTTGTGCTGTGGTGGTTTGAATGAGAATGGCCCGGATAGGCTCATGTATTTGCCTACTTAGTCTCTAGTTGAACTGTTTTGGAAGGATGAGGAGGTTTGGCCTTGTTGGAGGAGGTGTGTCACTGGGCTGGGCTTTGAAGTTAAAAAGCCTAGGCTGGGCCCATGTTTTTCTGTATGGCTGCTACCAGAGGATTAGGATGTAAAGCTCTTAGTTACTGCCCCAGCACCATGCCTGTCTGCTTCTTGCTGTGATGATTATGGACTACGCTGCTAAAACTGTAAGTGAGCTCCCAACCTAACATTTTCTTTTATAAGAGTTGCCTTGATCATGGTGTCTCTCTACAACAGATAGAACAATAGCTAAGGCAGAGGACACCATCGAAGCCCCTACTGTGGGAGGGAAAGGGAAATTTTGCACTCATGGGATTTCTCCAAAAAGGAAGGAGACAGTGTCTGAGATTTTGTGTCACCGACTCACTAAGCCCTTTTGTATTGTTAAAGCATCCTCTCTGTTTGTAAGTACTCATCCTTTCCCACGTGAGATCCCAGGCCGTCCTGAGGTGGCAGAGAGTACCTAGACAGGAGGCAGAGAAGGAGAGAAGCGGTCCCTACCCTGTTCCCACCACGAAGAACATCTGAGTTCCTGGAGAGAAAAGCTAGAGCTGCGTTGCCATCTTAAAAGTCTGAAGATTGATAAACTAATAAATAAGCACATCTTTCTAAAGCAGCGTGGAATCTGCAGTAGACTTTAATCTGGAGGATGAAATAAAGATAGAACAGCGAGAGTGTAAGGATAACAGTAGAGAAAATAAATTTGTATCCATCTATACTTTGTCAAAGCCAGCTCCATTAGCTAGCGTCTCACAGTCGACTGTTATTGCTGTGTGAGATGGTGAATCTTCACGGTCAACTTGGCTCAATCTCCGAACACCTTGAAGCACATTTCTGGGTTTCTCTGTGGGAACATTTCTAGAAAAGTTTAACCGAGGAAGGAAAATCAACCCTGAAGGCAGCAAACATCCCATGAGCTGAGGTTCTAGAATGATAAAAAGGGAAGAAATAAGAACATTAGCAGTGTACCTGCCTTCCTTTCTCTCTGCCGCCTGACTTAGACACAATGTGATAGCCAGCTGCCTTACATCCCTACCACCATGCCTTTTCCACCGTGATGGACTGTAAGCCCTTAAACCATGAGCCCAAACAAACCCTTCCTTCCTTAACTTGCTTTTGTCAGTTATTTTGTGATTGCAAAAATAAAAGAAGCTAGCACACCATGTAAAAGATCTCTCACTTCCATACAATCTGGAGTGACCAAGGTGATGATAACCATGTGTGGTTGATCAGAGGTAGAGTAAAGATACTCCACCAAAGCCATACAGTTCTCTTACAATAAAGAGACCACCGGGCCGTAGATCTTAATCATGGGTTTCTATTAGAAATGCTGCATCTCAGACCATATCTGAGACACACGTAATGAGATTCTGTCTTTTAACCAAACATCTGTGATTCATGTTTATATTAGGGTTTTGTGGTTGGTGCTGGGCTAGAAGCCAGCACTTCGCACAAGCTAAGCACACACCTTACCACGAAGTTACAGCCACAGACACATCACTGTTTTCTTTGGTTGGTACTGGTATAAAACCCAGGGTCTTGTTCACATAGTTTAAGAAACACTGATTTAGAAAATTCAGTCTACACTGAATGGTGAGAGTGCATGCCTTGAACTCCAGCACACAGGAGGGCAGAGGGAGGCCGATCTCTGAGTTCAAGGCCAGTCTGGTCTAAGAGTGAATTCTAGGACAGACCGGATTACACAGAGAAACCCTGTCTTGAAAAACAAAATCAAACAACAACAACAAAAAGAAAGGAAGGAAGGAAGGAAGGAAGGAAGAAGGAAAAAGAAAAAAGAAAACTCAAGATATTTTCAATTATATGCTATACTGGAAATACCTCTTTTTTTGTTCTCTCTCTCTCTCTCTCTCTCTCTCTCTCTCTCTCTCTCTCTGTGTGTGTGTGTGTGTGTGTGTGTGTGTGTGTATCTTTCCTTTGAGGCAGGGTTACTCTATATGGCTCAGAAAGGTCTGAAACTCAAAATCGCCCTGCCTCCCCCTCTTGAGTGATGGGATTACAGGGGAGCAGCACTATATTCTGTGATAAATTCCTTATGTTCAGTCCACCACTGTGGCATGCTGAGTTAGAAGGGACTTAAAACCGGGAGACTTGGGCCATAGCTGTGTCATCCTGGCCAAACTGTTGCTAGAAGCCCATGCTTTCTCGTGGTCTGTTTAATCACTTGAATTGAAAGGTTCTGTCTGGCTCTGACACTCAGTAATTTGGAGAAATTTTGTTTGAAGCAAAGGAAAAGCTAAAGCATTGTTGAATCTTATTGAAGACTGTGATAAATTGCTTAATGAGCTTCTGCCGTGCTTAAACAGTGGCGGGTCTTGTCCGCGCATCAGGCTCATTGCCTGGTCCTTTGTGGTAGCCCAGATAAAAACTAATTTCCTGTTTAATAATAATTATGGCTTCTGCACTGAGGAGGAAGCACATTGATAAGAAAAGAAGATTATTGCTAAAACAAAATAATATTTAGTGCGACAGGTAGCTAGGCATTCCTAAATCTTTTGTGTTGGAATGATGGGTAACTTCTTTTTTTAAAGACTTTTATTTATTTTTTCATTTATTTGCTTACTTATTTAGAGGCAAAATCTCATGAAACTCATGCTGGTCTGAAACTCCATCTGTAGCTAAGAATGTCCTTGAACACATGATCTTCCTGCCTCCACCTCCCTAGTGCTGGGATTATAGGTGTGCGTCACCATCACCAATTTTTAGAATATCGCATTTATTTATTTATTTATTTATTTATTTAGTGTGTGTGTGTGTGTGTGTGTGTGTGTGTGTGTGTGTGTGTGTGAATGTATGTCCCTGGTTGTGGATGTGAATGTGTCTGTAGATGTATGTCTGTAGATTTGTGTGTGTCTGTGGATGTGTCTGGATGCCTATAGATTTGTGTGTCTGTGTGTGTTTGTATGTCTGTGGGTGTGTATGTATGTCTGGATATGTGTCTGTGGGTGTATGTTTGTGGTTGTGGATGTATGTCTGTATGTTATAATTACGCTGACTTGCCCTGTCATCTGGGAACCCTGTTTCTTTAAACCCTGTTTTCAGGACTGGCTCCACAGCTACTGAGAAACCCCATCTTGAAAAAACAAGAGCAAGAGCAAGAGCGAGAGAGAGAGAGAGAGAGAGAGAGAGAGAGAGAGAGACGCTTTGCCCATTCCTTCTCCCCCACATCGGTGTCCCTCTATTTCTCTCCTTCTACCCTCCCATACTCTTCCAATACCCACTAAATACATTCTTCATACCCAAGCTCTCTCTGCAAGGCGTATTCTGTTTCCCACAAGGTCCCTTCCCTGCCCTCCAGGGTCACTCACACCGAAAATCTTTCAGTGTGTATTAGTATGAATATACATCTATGTCTGTAGTTGTGTACGTATGTTTGGATGTGGAAGTGTGTCTGTGGATGTGTGTGTATGAATACATGGCTGTGGCTGTGTATATGTGTGGAAAGATGCAGAGGTCAGAGAACAACTTACAAGAGACTGTTTCCTCCTTTTCCCCACAGGAGTGGCTTTTGGGTATAGAACTTTGCTTGGCAGCCTTGGCAGCAAGCACCTTTCCCCTCTCTGCCGTCTCATGGGCCCCCAGTTTTGTTTGTTCTGGAAATTGAACCTGGGGCTTTGTGCATGTTAGGTAAGCATTCTTTCAACTGAGTTACACCCCCGGTAGATTCTTTATTTGAAAAACATAGCTAATTGGGATTGCTTTGGTCTATGAAAATTTTTGTTTTGTTTTGAAGAAAAGAGGAATTGCTCTGTTGAAGAGCAAGACAAGAACCATGTGCATTGAGACAAATTTGTGTTTGGGTGACCTGTGGGTCAAGGGGAAGGCCAAGTACTTAAAAGTTTATTCAGCTGACTCGCTTGTGACCTTGGCGGAGTCTCCTTCAACTCCATGGTGCTGAAGGAACTGGATTGGATTGTTCCAATCTGCGAGCGAATAGATCTCCTTCATAGGGGCTGCCTGAACTTTGGGTTGAGAATTATAGTAGGGCCTCAAGCAACCTGATCACGAAAGAAGTGATCAATTAGTAATGTCTGCAGTGAGCAAGGGAATAGGGAGTGAACAAGGAAATTCCATTTGTTTGCAAATTCCTGGGCTAGAAGATCTCTGAAGACATTAATTGCTTTAAATATTTCATCCTGAAAACATTTATAAAAAAAGCTGTATAATAGGAAAAATGTAAAGAAATAAACTGATTTCTAGATTTATTATTGCTATTTTGCGGTCTTTTAACAGCTTGAAATATATATGTGTTTTTCTGTCTTAATAGCTACCTGCGGGACAAGCTCTGAGAAAAAGAAAAATATGGTTGGGTTTAACAGAAATTCAGCATGAGGTATCTGTTAGGTCGGAAGTGATTTATGTAAGGAATCCTGTTTTGTTAGAACATAGGCTGTTGTTCCATTCAGAGCCCTTTATATGAAACAGATGCCCAATCTATAAATCAGGCACCCCGCAGTAAAGGAGATGGCATTTTGTATAAATTATGGTGCAGAGAGGAAGTTGAGGCGTGGATGAACAAATTTTCTTTGGCTTTTTGGTGTAGGAGTCATTTTATCAATCATCTCTCTATGGTAATCTCCCTCTACCCCTGTGCACCTCTTAAGGGAACTGGTAATGAAGAAAGAGTTGGAAGGTGTGCAGAGAAACTTGTCTTTGACCTCATGAGTCCCTCCTTAGGTCTACTACAACCCAGGGAAGCTATGTAGGTCCCTTTCAGCCTCAGATGCCTTTGGTTTTGGTTCAGATGTAACCCTCAAAGGAAACTACGTCATTGTCCTCTCGCGGGGTTCCAAGAAAGAATGAAATTTTTTTTATCCATCATTGTCTTTAGTGATGTGCTTCTGTTTTCCCACTTACAAGGTAGAGGGGCTGCATAGATGGCTCATCCAATAAAGAGCTTGTCTTATGAGCGTGAGTACCTGCCTTCTAGCCCCAGAGCCAGTGTTAAGAATAGCCAAGCATGATGATACACTTGTAGTCCAGTGCTAAGGGGAAGGAAACGAGTGGATTCTTGGGGCTCGCTGGCAAAGTAGTCTAGCATGCTTGGCACGTTCCAGGTCAATGAGAGACCCTGTCTCAAAATACAAGGGATAACACCCAAGGAACAAGAGCAGGGGTTGTCTTTTGTGCATACAGACTGCATGCATGCATGTGCGTGCGCGCGCGCACACACACACACACACACACACACACACGGAATTTTGCTTTACTGTAACTCCCTGATGGATAGTTTCTGGTGGAGACAGTTAATGGATCATTCCCTATGGACCGAAAGCAGCAAGATCCTTTGCTCATTGCTGTAGCAAACACTGCTCTTTGATTCTGTGAGTGAGATCCAAAATTTGCCACCCAGTTCTGAGGACTGACCCCACCTACCAGTGCGCAGTCGTAAGACGCATCTGGTCTTCAAGGTTTGCCATGCAGCAAAGGACCAGAAAATATTCCCAATGACAGGTAGTTCAGATGGGGTTTCAACTGACTCAGAAAGCACTTCCTCCTAGAAAAATGTTCATTTTCTTTCTTCTGATTTTGTAATATGAAATGATTATATATTCACCTGGTTTAAGAAAAAAACTAAGGAAGAACTCAAGGGGGCTGGTGATACAGCTCAGCAGTAGAGGGGCTTCCCCTGCACTAGGGAAAACGAAAATAAACCAGAAGGAATTGTTCTGAGGACTGACGCCACCTACCTAATTCCCTGTCTCCTGGCCTCTTTGTAACAGGTCTTACTTCTGGTTTTTATTTCAAAATAAATGCACTGTTGTTCCTTTTCATTTTCATGGAAATCAGGATGCCTGTGCTGCTGTTGCACTCCTCAGCTGTCGCCTAATAGTTTTCCTGGGGTGTTTTCCACAAGGGACAGAGAATCTCTTCTCCAGCTGAGCAATATCACCCCATTGTCCCTTGGCTTACTCACCTACCTGTCCTTAGTTGACAGAGAGCCATTTCGTTGTCCATGCTCACAGCTCTAAAGGGTGCCTGTCACTGTGCTTAGTGCTGGGTTAGGTACAGATGGAAAAACAAATTCCCGGGAGTGGAGTCGCTGAGGGGAAAGTCAATGCATCTGTAATTTGGATCGCAATTGCCACTTGGACTCCCCGAAGGGCTGTGCCACTTCGCACTCTTGCCAATAGGGTAGGAGAGTGCAGAATTCGGCTATTTATTCCAGAATGTGTTATACAATTTGGAGACTGGATCTTTGCCAGTTTAATATGTAAAAATGATATCCCTGTATACAGCAGCCCTGTATTTTTCTTATTACTAGTGAAGTTGAACAACTTTAAAATAGCCAAGGGCAATTTACGTTTCTCTTTCTGTGGTGTCAGTGCTTTAAGAATTTTTTTTTTCATGAAAAATCTACTCTACCTCCTGAACATATATAGCTTAAAGATCTAGGCTTAGCCTCTTTTACACGAGTACTCATTTAATTTTCTAAGCATACCTGTAAGTTGGGTGCAACTGGTCTGTGCTGTTTTTTTCTCTTCATGTGTATGTGTGTGTGTTTACATGTATGTGTTGGTCCGGACTCCAACTCCCAGCCTGCCAAGCGATGACCCCGCCCACATGGTATTTAGGGTTGCTCTGGAACAGGTGATTGTGGTTTGTGAGTTTGCATGTGCTCTCCCTCTGTCTTCCCCCTGCCATGCTCCCGGCCACATGGGAGTGTGCCGTCTATGAAACATGGGCATTTGATTTGGCTTCATCTGGTTTGATTGGAATTCTTTGTGCTGATGGAGAGGCTTTTCCTAACAGTATGTAGGAACACAGTGGGAGGGTGCAAGTGTACACTTGTATGTGTGCAAGGGCAGGCCTGAAGTTGATACCAAGAACCTTTTTTGATTGGTCTTACATGTTATTCTTTCGAGTCTCTCCCTACCCCACTTTCTCTCAGAAAGGGTCTCACTATGTAGCCCTGGTTGGCTTGGAATTCACAGATATCTGTCTGTTCCTGTCTCCCAAAGAGCTCCTGTCTCCCACTGAAGTAGTCTCCTTGTTATTCCTTTTGATCTCTGGTCCTTTTAAGGGGCAAGCCACGCCCACTCCCAACCACTTCTGACCCCCCTGGTCGCCATCTTAACCTTTCTCTTCTGTCCCCTCTCTCGCTGTGTGCACACGTGTCTCTGTGTCTCTATGTCTGTTTCCATGTCTCTCTGTCTCCCTCTTCTTTAAGTAATAAATGTTTACCTTTATGTTTAGCCTTATGTCTATTTATTGTGTCCTGTAAGACTTTTATCTGCTGAACCTGCCCACCTGCTCTCCAGGCCGCATGGCCGGACCAGCTCTGCTCCTCGCCGCAGGGAACCTGCCTGGCTTGCAGGCCGCTCAGGGAACATGCCAGCATTATATTTTTAACAACACTCCTGAAACCCAGAACTGGCCCAGTCTAACTTGTTAGTCCCAGAAATGCCCTGTCTCTACCGCCCAAGACAGGCCCCTCTCCCATCTAACATTTATGTGGGTTCTAGGGACCCAATTCTGGTCCTTTTGCTTGGGCTGCAAGCGCTTCAACCTTGGAGCCTTCTTCCCATCCTGAATGGTCTGTTTCTTTAAAAAAGAAAACTGGGGCTCTGAATGACCAAGTAACTGACAGGCCACACAATCAGGAAGAAACAAATTTGAATTTTAGGGCCTCTAGGGGCTTATGGGTAAATCAGCCAGGGGTATGCGACCTTTGTGGCATGACATTGTTATTTATAGAGCTCAGTCAAGAGCCACAGCTGAGTTATCAAAAACAAGTAAACAAGCAAGCAAGTAAATAAACAAATAAAAGAATCCTCAAAATGTTTTAAGTAAGTTTACAACTTTGAGTTGGTCACATGTAAACCTATTCTGGGACACACCCTCTACGGGTTGGATGCCCTGCCTGAGGCATGGGTGGTACTGTGTGTCTTAGACAAAAGCCAGAGTTAACTCATTTGAACTGGTTTTCATTATCAAACACTGAAGCAGATGGATGGAGACTCACGCGGCTACATTCATTCTGGGAGTGTGTGAAAGACCAGCAGAGATCAGAAATCTAGCACACAGTCCACCCAGGCAACAGACCACAGGGAGACTCACGCGCGCACCACTGCACCGCAAGCCCAGGAAGCTGAAGCAAAGCAGAAGCGACAACCCATCTTTGTCCCTCAGAAGAAAAGGTCACAGAGTCACAAAGGGTAAATGGCCGGTGGAAAGCAAGCCCACAAGCCAGGCCTCATCACAGTTGGCTTCACATTGAGGGCCAGAAAATTGCAAGATGCTGCATCTCCTTTGGCCTCTGCTGCTGCATCGAGCTTGTGGGAACCCGGGTCCTAAGTGTTGTGTTGAAGTCCCTCCCCAAGGTAGCTGCTTGCCTCCCATGTGCAGAGCCTGTGGGGCTAGCGAGGACCATTTCCCTTCCCAGGTGTCCTCTCTGTTGGAAGTTGCTTGGACTGCAGATGAGAACTGAAACTGAAATACCCCCTAAAGAGAGAAGTGGATGAAAAAAAAAATCTTCGTTCGTTTACAACGCTTGACAAATCTGCAAGATTGGACACAAGAGCATTACTAAATGATTAAAAGCCCAGGTTCTCCCCTCTGGGAGTAAGTGTGGGAGAGTATTAGATTACTGCTGAATAATGTAATCACCGCAGCTTTCTGACAGCTCAAACATACAGCCAGGACGCCCCTTTTCACTCTGTTTACCAACTGCATTCAAAAAGCCATCTTCCTTCTGGCGAATTTCCCCATTTTCCTCTACTTTAGTTTATTGTGACTCAATAAAATATGAACCTGGTGGATTGCAACTTCCTTAAAGCAGCAGTCGCATTTTCTATGCAGGGTGGAAGGTGTGTGGTAACAGGATTCGGGAAGCATCTTTGGTGGAGGCAGGAAGGATGTGGGTCCCTCACGCAAAGGAAGGAGAATCAGATGGACTTGGATTGGCTGAGGATTTAATTAAACTGGCACTACCTTGTGCATTCTCTCCACTGTTAGGAATCAATTTCTGAATTTCTTCCAGATGTCCATATTTGATGACAATCAAAGCAGAAACGTTCCCAGGGGGACATAATTGCTTTGGTACTATTAAGCTGGCTGTGAGTGGTTAGCAAAAACACACAGAGCAGCTGGGCCAACGTGGTGCCTAGACGGAAGCCCCTTCCTTCTGTGTTTCTCCTTGTGTGTTACTGCCACTGTGGGTTTTTACTTTTTAGCTCCACACCCTCAGCAATCAGAAAGGGCAGAGCAAGGGCTGGGGAGATGGCTTACTTGGTGAAGTGCTTGCCATGCCAACATGAGATCCTGAGTTCAATCTCTAGCACCGACTTGAAGATTCTAGGAGAGGTGGTATGTACTTGTAATCCCAGGACTAGGGATCCCTCCAGGCAAATTTGCTAGTAAACCCCAGAACTCAGTGAGAGACCCTGATCCTGCCTCCAAAAAAAAAAAAAAGTAGGGGGAGATAACTTCTGCAGAATAATAGCTGAGTTTGACCTCTGGCATGAGCATGCATGAACACATACATGTCCCTGCCCCCACATACACACTTACAACGTCAGGGCAGAAAAGGCAAATATCAAGCATAACCAATAGAGTTATGCCTTGGGCACTCTGTCAGATAAACCTGACTTTCTCAACCATTGGCAGTCTCATGTGTCCTTGCTTTGTTGAATGTTTGAGATTTTGTGGACTTTGTCTCATTGGCTACTGTTTCCTTCCACATATGATGACATATTGTAGAGATGCATTTAATGTCTACAGAGTTAAGAAGTGTCTAAGGCAATACTACTAAAAATGGCAGGGCCAGAACTCAGGCCAGGTATCAGATTTTGAGACCAATGATCTTACACACCATAATGTTCTGTGAAAGAGCCTTTGGCTAGGACATAGATGGAGAGGACCTCTGCATTCCTGGACTAACTCGAGAGAGAGATGCTCCAGTGTCTAGTAGCGTGGCAAAGAGACACAATGCAGCTGTCTGCAAAGAAACTTCAGGTCATTGTCTTAAATCCACAATGGATCTGCCTAAATTCATTCTATGATTTGATTATGACTGGCATTAGTCAACTCAGATTTAAGGGATAGTTAGTGAGGTGAAACTCAAAAGTTGGCAAAAAAAAAAAAAGGTGGTAGAGGAGGTCAAACTCAAAACTTCAAAGGTATACTTTAAGTGTTCCTTCTAATATTTGAAGTCACATTTCTTCACAAAGATCTAAGTGTCTAGAGCGGCTTTTGATTGTGTTTTAAATGAAGGCAGCTAAAATTCTATGACCATGATAAAAACTCAAGGGTGGCAACTAAAATACCTTGAAATTCATCTAAAAAAAAAAAGTCAAGTGTCTTCTTAGAATCTGTTTGTTGTTATATGTGAGCTTCCATCTCTTCTTGTTGTGTGTGTTTGTGTATATATATATTTCTCTGTGTGTACATACTTGTAGAGGTCAGAAATCAACCTCATGTGTCTTCCTTAGTCTCCACCTTGTTGTCTAAGGCAGGGTCTCTCAGTGTCCTGGAACTCACTGCTTAGGCCTGACTGACTAACCGGCGAGCCAGGAATTCACTGTCTCTGCCTTTCCAGCTCTTAGGATTACAAGTGTGTGCCACTATGCCCAAGGATTGAACCTGGGTCGCCATACTTGGTCAGCAAACACCATCCCAAATAAGTGATCCACCTCTCCAGCCCCACTAGTGCTGGAGATCAGCCAGTGGTGAGGAGGTCAGAGTCACCCTGGCCTTAGGTGCAGCACCCTTTGAAGCAGCCTTACTCTGTCTGGCTGGGACCAATATTTTCTTACTACACTGAGATTTGGTCTCTTCATATTCTTTTTTGTTTTTTTTTAAAGTATTTACAACTTCTCTACTAATATGTCGTGAAGAATCAGTGCTGTTAAAAAAAAAAGTCACCTCATGCAATTTGTGTCAGTTTTAAACACCTTTAAATGTGAGTTGGGCTGTGAATCTGACATGTGACATCTCTCCTGGGCATTTGTTATGTCTATGGAAAGCACCATGATGATAAATGTTGTGGCTTCTATTAGGAACCTAGTACATCACCACATCACCGAGGTTACTCTTCAGCTTGCTGGGCTGAAGTTGATTTGTGTGTGCTTTTCCTTTTGTTCCTCACTCAGAAATAACACACCTCCAGCAGAGCGTGTGACTTATAAATGTTCACTGCTTGGTGGAATTTAGATAAGAACACAATCAACATACTCCAACCCTGACCTCCATGGAGAACAATTTCAGCGTACCTGATCCTTCTTCCAGGGGAAGTCAATACTCTTTCTAAGATAAAATTGAAAATTCACGCACGTGTGTGTGTCCATGTGTTTGTGTGGTACAAACATATGAGTGTGCAAATGTGCACATTTTTGCTCGTACATGTGGAGATCAGAGCAGGACATGGGGAGGGGCGTCTCCCTCTAATTTTCTCCACCCTATTGCCTTGAGACAGGGCCTCTCACTGAACTGGGAGATCATTGTATCAGGTAGGCTGGCTGACCAGGAAGCTCTCAAGATCTACCTATCTCTGCCCCCACCACAAATGCTGGGGTTATAGGCATGTGCAGCCATGTCACATAAATTTTGGGTGCCTGTAATCCTCCTGCCGGGAGGTGAAGACAGTAAAATGCCTTGGGCTCATTGACAAGTCAGCCCATCCTAAATAGTGAGTTTCATGTTCAGAGAGAGACCCTGTCTCTAAGAACAAAGAAGAGAGCAACCGAGGAAGACGCCCAACAGCAACCTCTGATCTCCATACACATGTCCACACACATACATGCCCCCTTACACACACATGCACACACCGACTAGAACATGAACATACACCACACGTGCATACGCATAGGAAAAAATGGTCAGTTATTTTGTGGAACATTCCTCAATTTTGGTTAGTGTGATGCTTTCTCAAGTTGAAATTCAGGATGTATATTTTTTGGCAGTGATGCCACAGAATTGCTTTTGTGTACTTCTAATTGCTTATGAGACTTGTGATGGTGAACATTTGCCCACTGACTTTAGCTTCTGTTATTAATGTCACTGATCTATATTTATGAACTATAATTCTACTGTATTGGGGAGATATTCCTTCTCCAATTTCCTTTATTCAGTTATTTACCTATGAATTTTCTGTTAATACGTTATTGTGTAGAAAGATAATAACCTTTATCTCATTCAGTACTGTGGTAGTTTGAATGTAATTGGCCCTCACATAGGGAGTGGCACTATTAGGAGGTGTGGCTTTATTGGAGCTCATATGGTCGGGTTGGAGGAAGTATATCACTGTGGGGGTAGGCTTTGAGGATTCCAATGCTCAGGATACTGCCCAGTGTCTCAGTCTACTTCCTGCTGCCTGCGTATTAATATGTATCAGCTGCCTCTCCAGCACCATGCCTGCCCGCATACCGCCATGTCCAGCCATGATGACAATGGGCTTAACCTCTGAACTGTAAGCAAACCACACAAGGAAATGTTTTTCTTTGTAAGAGTTGCCGTAATCATGGTGTCCCTTCACAGCAATATAAACCCTAACTAAGACAAATACTTTGTTATTGTTTTGGTTTTGGTTTTGAGACAGGGTTTCTTTGTGTAGCCCTGGTTGTTTTGAACATGTTCTGTAGATCAGCCCGGAGTCGAACTCACAGAGATCTGCCCGCTTCTCCCTCCTAAATTCTGGGATTAAAGGCGTGCACCACCACCAATGGGCTTAGTTAAATGCGTTCTGTATCAGTTACTTGTCTGTTACTATAACAAAATGTCTGACAAAAACAACTTTAAGTGAAAAGTTTATTTTGGGTCACAGTTCCATCCTGGCAGCAGGAGCCTGAGGCAGCAGGAGCCTGCGGCAGCTGGTTACCCCGTGTTTGCAGTGAGGAAGTGGAGAGCAATGAATATCCATGTCCAGCAGGCTTTCTCCTTTCTATGTAGCACAAGACCCACCCCATGGGATGGTGCTGTCCGCACTTAAGGCTGGTATTCCTATCTCAACCTAGGCCCCTACAGGCATGCCCAGAGGTTTGTCTCCTAGGATGTTGGGAGCCACCTGGAGGCACAGGTGGTCCTGCAGTTTGGAGGTAGCCACGTGGGGCTGAGCACCCTTGCCTGCACCCTTGCTTGCACATGCTCAGAACAGCAGAATGGCATTAACCAATCAGGACAGCGTTCAAGCCTCTCCACCATTTAAAAGTAGCTGCCTCGGGGCCCAAGGCTCTCTCTCTAAGCTTTCTCTCGTCCCTGCTCTATCTTCCCTTCCCCCAATTTTCCTCAAGGGAATGCTCCAAATAAAGATGTGACCAGAGAAGGAATTCTCGTTTTTGGTGGCGTTCATTCCTGCTGGTCAGGATGCGCCCCGCACTAGGAGATTCTAGATCCTGCCACGTTGCTAGGAACCATTACACTTTGTGTTCATTATTTGCTTGCTGGGTACCAGCCTGAGTTGTGCATATGTAGTTCTCTGTGTATCATCCATTATTATCACTATCTTATTACTCTTCTTGGCTCAACTTGACTCACTGTGAGACCCTTCAAGCTGACCCTTCTATCACCCCGTTTGTTGACTCCTCTTGGTGTTGTTGTTGTTGTCATCGTCATGGTTGTTGTTGTTTAGCACTTCCCTATACTCTAGAATCACAAAATGTTCAGGCTCATCTTGTGATTTACCTGGCTCAGCTCCAGAATAGATCATTTCTGTACAAAGCCATTGTCCTTTTCATTGGGAAATGACCTTGATACCGAAATCTAGGTTCTTTATGTGGGCAGTGTGATATGATATCACTGTTTCCATTGTTTCCAAGTTCTCTGGACAGAAAGAACCAAAAAATATAAGACTAACATGAACATACGCAATGCACTTACAATTCTCTATATAACTCTCATATCATGAGATGTCTCATATCATGAGATGTCTCTGTCATCTCTCTGTGTCTCGCATACACACACACACACATACACACACACACACACACACACGTATGTATAACCATGCTACTATACTGATAAGTCCAGTTTCAGTTACCAAAGGGTCTCTGTGGGCCTCCATCCCGCTCCTATTTGTTATCCTCTTGTTTGACCAGCAAAACACAATCTCACTCATAATATATAGATAAATATAGATCATAATATGTAGATAAAACTAAGTAGGAGACTATGTTCTTAGCAAGTTCTTAGCTTTATTTCTCACACCGTCATAAAATAGAAATAATGTACTCATTAACTTGTTCTACCTTTTAATACATAGATGTTCAGAATTAATAATCTACACCATTTTGAAATTCAATGTGTTGTAGGGAAGCCACTTGTTTGCTTTCCTGGCTGCCCAGACTCCCAAAATAATCACACAGTAACTATACTATTTAAATCACTGCTTTGCCAGTCACTTAAGTATTTTGCTAGTTAGCTCTTACATCTAATATTAACCCATTTCCAGTATTTTATATTTTACCATGAGGTTTGTGGCCTACCGGCAAGGTTCTAGTATGTCTGTCTCTGGTGGTGGCTCCATGGCTCCTCTCTGACTCTGCCTTCTTTCTTCTAGCATTCAGTTAGGTTTCCCCATCTAGCTAAGTTCTGCCCTGCTATAGATTCAAAGCAGTTTCTTTATTCATTAATAGTAATCATGGCATACAAATGGGAATCCCACATCACTTCTGAATATACAACATTAACATAATTCTACAATTTAGAGTTTTTACTCAGGTGTTATCTGTTGTCCATTCTTTTTACACTTCCCAACTGTTTCTACCCATTTCTACTTTTTCTTGAGAGAGGGTTGATGTTGGTTATTTTTCCATTGATGTGATAAAAACACGATAGACCAGAGCAACTTACAGAAGAGTTTATTTGAACTTAATTCCAGAGGATTAGAGTCCATCATGGCAGGGAATGCTGGCAGCAGGCATTGTGGCAGGGATAATTGTTAGTTCACATTTTGACAGCAAGCAGGAAGCAGAAAGAGCTAAGAAAAAGTGGCATTTGTCTTTTCACAGCCCACCAACAGTGGAATAATTGAAAGTCACATACCTCCTAAATCTTCCAAACAGTACCATCAACTGGGGATCAAGTATTCAAATGCCCAAGACCATGGAATGGGGGACACATCCTTAA